AGGATGAGGATGAGGATGAGGATGAGAGTGAGGATGAGGATGAGGATGAGGCTGAGGCTGAGGCTGAGGATGATGATGCTGATGCTGATGCGGCTGCTGATGATGGTGACGATGCTGCTGCTGCTGATGATTATGATGACGATGGCGATGATGTTGATGATGATGGTGATGATGGTGACGATGCTGCTGCTGCTGATGATTATTATTGTGGTGATGACGATGAGGATGATGATGACGATGATGCCGATGGTGATGATGATGGTGGTGGTGGTGATGCTGATGCTGATGCTGATGGTATGATGGTGGTGATGATGATGATGGTGGTGATGATGATGGTGATGGTGGTGATGGTGATGATGATGATGATGGTGATGATGATGGTGATGATGGTGATGATGCGGACCATGATGGTGGTGATGATGATGGTGATGATGATAATGAGGAGGAGGAGGGGGAATATGATGATGAGGAGGGTGATGGTGATGGTGATGATGGTGATGGTGATGGTGATGGTTACGGTGATGGTGGTAGTGATGATGCTGCTGCTGATGATGAAGATGATGATGATGATGACGATGATGATGGAGCTCGTTTAGGCCGTCTTGGGGCTGTCTTGGCCTCCTGTGAGGCAGTCTTGGGAGTCCCTTGGGGCCCTCTTGGGTCGTCTCGGGGCCCTATTATGCCGGCTTGGGGCTCTCGTGGGCCGTCTTTGGGCCCTCTTGGCCGTGTTTTGGGGCCGTCGTTGGGCCGTCTTGGCTCCGTCTTGCGCCGTCGAAGGGCCTTCTGAGGCCGTCTTGGATCCCACGGGATGCCCTCTTGGGCCGTCTTGGATGCCTATTGGGCCATCGTGGAGTTCCTCTTGGGCCGTCTTTCGCTGACTGTAGCCCAAACAGGAACACCAAACGGAAAATCAATGATTTGGTCTTCTTCTAACCCTGTTTGAAGCCCTCTTGTGGCCAGTTTGGGCCCTCTTGTAGGCATCTTGGGCCTTGTGGAATGAATATCCGGCCACCTTGGTGCCATCTTGGGCCGCCTTCGAGGCATCTTGGGCCATCTTGGTGTCCTTGGTTGCCTGCACGGGCCGTCTTGTAAGCTCGGGACGCATATCCATTGTTTTTATCGAGGGATCGTGGTTTGGGGGATCCTGAAGCGCTTGGGAGCAGCGCGTGAGAATGCAGGAAGTGCACGATCCTCGAGCGGGTACGCATGGGATGAGGTGTCTAAGAGTTAGCAGCAATGCGCGAAATGCACAATCCTCGAGCGGGCGCGCATAGAATGAGGGTTCAGGCGCCAGCTTCCATGTGGGCAGTGTACTATCCTCAAGCGGGCACGCGTGGAAAAGGGGCTCAGGCATTAGCTGCCGCGCGGGAAGTGCACCATCCTCGAGCGGGCACGAGGGAAGTATCCCGGAAAGGAGGGGCGATGCACGCAAGAATTTGCTGGTAGAGGGAGGTGCGGTCCATTTATTAAACTGAAAAAACCTACCAGATAGGCCTTGGCATTCTTTCACGCCTCAACGTGCCAAGGGGCACGGTGGCGGATATCGCTGGCCATTTCGCTCAAAAAACTTCAGCTTGGATGTCCGAGGTCATTGCGTCCTTGCAGGCATCGTGCTAGCATAAGGGGCGCCAGATGAGGAACGAAGGGGCCTTTCTGGCCACGGCGAGCCTCGGCCACGAGTTGGCTCCACGACCTCGGTCTGAGGAATGGCCCGACAGGCAGAGCCCCTCCTGAGCCCAAAGTGCTGCACCCTGGCTCCCGGCTGCACCCTGGCTCTTCAGTGCAGCGCCCCGGCTGCACCTGGCACCCCCGTGCTCCTGTCGCGCTGCGGGCTGGCGGAGCCTCCTGACCGCCAGACGGCGAGGGCCACGGCGCGCGGAGGGAGACTCGGGGACGAAGGGGGCGGCGCGCACCGTCGTCGTCGTCGTCGTCGTCGTCGTCGTCGTCGTCGTCGTCGTCGTCGTCATCGTCGGCGGCGGCGGCGGCGGCGGCGGCGTCGTCGTCGTCGTCGTCGTCGTCGTCGTCGTCGTCGTCGTCGGCGGCGGCGGCGGCGGCGGCGGCGGCGGCGGCGGTGGCGGCGGCGGCGGCGTTTTTTTGGCGTTGTTTGCAATCATCGTCGTCGTTGTTTTATCTTTGGGGGTGGGGGGCATCGCTGGAGGTTCTCGTGGTGTCCACGGCCGGGCGCAGCGCGAAAAGCGGGCCAAGGCAGACCCCGGGAGGGGTTCGGAGAAGGGCCGGTTGGGAGCGGGCTCTGGCCAGAGGCGGGGGGGCGGCAGTCTGAGAGGGCCCCCCCGCTGCCGCAGGGGCCCTCCCCGCCCAGCTTGGCTGCCTCGATGCGCCTGTTTGGAGACGCAGCGCGTGCCGTGCTCGAAACGTCCGCGACGATACGTTGCACGTGGGCTTTGCGTGCTGGCCCACGTGTTGGCGAACGTATCGCGTCAGACCTGCGTTTTCAGTCTATTTGTTGAGCTCCGTGCCAACATGCTATGGCTATGTGTTGCGTGTTGCGTATCGGGGCAGCTAGGTTCCACACCAGTCTTTTCTTCGCTGCATTTTTCCACACTGCCCTTGGCGGGCCCGCCTGCCTGCGCGCAGTACGCCACCCTCCCCTTGATGGGGGCTGGCCTGACTGCGCAGGGCGCGGGCCGGATGGAGTCGAGTCAGGATTGTGTGCAGACCCCTCTGGCCTCTGCCAGGAGGACGCATACACCATACCAGAGCGCAGGATGGGCCTGGCCAGGCATGGTGGTGGTGTTGAGGTGCCGTTTGCTCAGCACCGTTGATGCCGCCCCTCCCCCCATCCCCAGACCCCCGACGTCAAGATTTTTTCATGACGTCGACCCCCCGAGGTCTCGACCCATTCCCCCGGACCGGTTTTTCGTCCTGAGTTGCTTTTCGACGGTCCCGAGGGCCGGTAAGGGCCCCCAAAGGCCGAAAATTAGGAAAAACCTCCCGTCGTGATTTTTTCATAACTCGAGGGGGTCTGGGTCCCCCCCCGTCGCCTCCCGCCCTTTCCCCCCCCTGGTCGCCACGGCCAGATCCTCCTCCTCCTCCTCCCTCCTCCTCCTCCTTCCTCCTCCTCCTCCTCCTCCTCCTCCTCCTCCTCCTCCTCCTCCTCCCCCTCGGTCTCAGAAACGCTCAGGCCGAAACGCCCAGGCCCCTCAACCCTGGTGCGCCCTTCCGCCCCCGCCGCCGGGGCCTCTAGGCGGGTGGGAGACTCTCGCCCCCTTCTACGTTGCGCTCCTCCTCCTCCTCCTCCTCCTCCTCCTCCTCCTCCTCCTCCTCCTCCTCCTCGTCCTCCTGGTCGGAGCGCGCCCTGGGACAGGTCGGGGGAGCAGCGCCGTGTCGGTGTGATCTTCCCAGGTGGGACTCCGGAGTCTGAGTCGTTTGTTGCTCGTCCTTCGGCGAGTTTAGCGTTCGTCCTCGGCTTTGGTCTCGACCTGGGCTTGCAACCCTGTCCCAGCTTTTAGGCTTCAGCCTGCAGCTTCTGGTGCCGGTTTGCTCGAGGCATCGGCACACCGTCGGGACAGCATCTGGACGGGACCGAAATCGAGCGGAGCACCATGAAACATCGGTCGGGACACCACCGCGGCATCGAAAGCCACCTGGGGCACCGTCGGCAATCGGTCGAGGCACCCTCGAAAGTCAGCTCCGACACAATCGGGACTCGCTCCGATCGCGATCACGGCCACCCGGAGAGCTCCGCTGGGACAGCACGGCGGGACGCCCCGCTCCGCCGCCCGACGGGGGCAGGCGGTGAGCACTGTGGCCGCACGTGCCGGCGGCACCTGTGGCGCCCGCGCATATCTCCGCACGGGCAGCACGAGTGAGGACGCTGTGCTCTACTGATGTGCGAGTCAAGGAGGAGGGTTCTCTCGGGTGATGGGCCTGTTTTCCACCACCACCACCATAAGTTGGAGGGGGGAAGGAGGTGAAGGAGGAGGAGGAGGAGGAGGACGAAGAGGAGGAGGACGAGGACGAGCAGGAGGAGGAGGAGGAGGACGAGGAGGAGGAGGAGGAGGAGGAGGAGGAGGAGGAGGAGAAGGAGGAGGAGGAGGAGGAGGAGGAGGAGGAGGAGGGTAATGAGGGTAATGACGATGCGGACGGTCCCTCTGTGACCGCCTCTCGGCACGCGGCCGCACGCCGCCGCCGCCCCGAAGAGGTCTCAACCCCCCAGAGGTGCCCTGGCGGAGGAGGAGGAGGAGGAGGAGGAGGAGGAGGAGGAGGAGGAGGAGGAGGAGGAGGAGGAGGAAGGAGGAGGAGGAGGGAGGGGGAGGGGGAGGGGGAGGAGGAGGAGGAGGAGGAGGAGGAGGAGGAGGAGGAGGAGGAGGAGGAGGAGGAGGAGGAGGACCCCTCCCCATCCTACTTATGGTGGTGCAAGCCCACCGTCGGGGGCAGTCAAGAGGGAGAAGATGACTGCGGGGGGGCGGACATCAAAGCTGAGGCCAAGATGTCTCCCCAGATTTCATGGCGCCTCTTCTCTCAATTCAATGCGCTCCCTGGTCCCCCCCTCGTCAGCGCACATCCCTCGGGCCATGATTTGCGAATCCCCCTCTCGGACGCCCCCCTCTTGGACGCGCCCGCTTCTCGGACTTATCAACTAACTTCAGTTGGCACAACAACGAGCGAGGGCTGGGCGCTCGAACGATGTTTCGGAGAGCGCCCGAGCGGAAGCACGCGTGCGCCGTGGCGTTGGTCTCGTGCCTGGAGGGGCGCCGACGCCAGCGACGAGGAAGGCGGTGGAGTGGCAGTGCAAGCAGGAGGTCCCTCAGAGGTCCCTGGAGGTCCCCGGAGGCCGCCCGAAAGCCAAACAGAGGCCAAACCTCGGTTCGCGACCTTCGGACACGAGCGCGAAGTGTGACGCACCCAGGGGCTCCGCAACCTACAGAACGGAGGTTCGGCCCCCAACTTGAACGCCGACAAAATAGTATGTTTCATAACGACGGTTCGGCCTTCAAGATGGGGTGGTTTGGATCCTCTGTGGAGATCAGCGCGAGCAGGCCAAGATGGCGGACCTCAAGACTTCCATGGGCGAGTACGCGGCCAAGATAGAGGAACCGGGAGATGGGGGCGCCGCATGCAGGGCGTGCTTCTCCTCTACCACCTCTTCCCTCCTCCCTGTCCTCCCCCCTGCCATCTGCTTTTCGCGTGGGCGGCACAACCGCACGCAACGAGCGCCACCCGGTTGGCGTCTCTCATTTCCTTTTGGAGGGCACCGTTTGCTTGCAGAGTGGTGCTGCTGCAAGGCCTCCCCGCTGCCTTCGGCTTCTCCTCCCCCGGCTCCTCACATCCTGCCCCTCCTCCGCTCTCCTCGTCCTCCTCCTCCCCCCTCTTGCCCCCTCGCACCTCCTCCACCTCTCTCCTCATCTGCCTCTACATCTTCCTCCTTTCCCTTCCTCCTTCCTCCTGCTCCCTCATAACTGCTTCTTGCGCATGGCTCCACCCTGTCACGCCCCTACACGTGTCTGTAGGGCGAGCTGTTTTTTCCTGACATGGATTCACCATTTGTGGTCCTGAAGCTCGAGATTTCCTGAGACTTACCCACGGTATGTGATCCTGAAGCTTAAATTTCGCAGCAGCTACTCGGATGGAAGGGGGTATATTTTTGAAACTTGAGGTCTCGGCCTAACGCCGCGCACATGTGCGAAAGTATTGCAACAGTTGAGCACATATGGTTTTTAAAAGGAGCTCTCGTCTTAGCGCCGCGCGTGTTCGTTTCAAGAGCTGGCAGTAGAAAGATGGAGGTGAGGCGTTTTCAAAATTGAGCTCTCGGTTTCGCGCGCGCACATGTGTCTGAACCGGTTCAGTTGGGACCTGGCACTTGATTCGTCCGGACGAGGGGAGCAGCGTTCCATATGTTTGAGTCGCCTTGCGACATTGGGCAGCTGCTCCGCCACGGCGTCACGCAAGCCCAGTGTGCGCACGCATTGTCGGTCACTCCTGAGGCCAGCGGGTCTGATGATGCTTGGGGTCGGTCGCTGAGGCTCGGCGCCCAGCTGGCACGAGCTCCAGGGTTGCCGCAGCAATTGGTCGAGGCCCTCGAGACGGCCGAGCACCCCACTCCACAAGCCACGTCGCCCTCGCCCGATGGGCCCCGTGCCCTCGCGGCAGCGGCGGCTCAGGGCGGGCCTTCGGCCGCGGACGTGGCGGCGGCGGCCGTCGTCGTGGAAGGGCCAAGAAGTGTTACACGGTGGCTCTTTTGGGCAGCGCTAGGTGGTGGCGAGAGCGCAAGTCTCAGCGCGGCTGCAGCGACGCGGGCATGCGCCAGTGTTGCGGCCAGGCAGTGGGCACATTGGGGCGACAAGTTCTGCATCAGTGCGACACGGTGTGGGACGACAAGGGAACTCCTGACCCCGCGCGCATCCGTGGCCAGATAGATGTTTGCACATCTTCAGCTGCTGAAGGACCCGGCCAGAGGTCCCCCTCTCAGTTTCGACCTGCCCGAGCTGGTTACGCGACGCCCATCCTCCACCCCAGCGCCCGCCGTGTCCTCGCGACATTGCCACGTTCTGGCTTCGGGGGCCGCCCATCTGCATCGGGGGCCGCAGGATGACGCGGGCTCAGCGCACGGCCTCCCCGAAGCCGCTCGCCGCGCCTGGGCGGCGGCCGAACTCCCTCGATAGGGGGCAGGGCCCAACAGGGGCCTCGCGCGAATGCGATGCCGGCGCCGTGCCGAAAGCCGAGGCGTCGTGTCGACCAGCGGCGACCCCGCAGTGGGCGCTCAAGGTTGAACGCCGCCAGTGGCCCAGAATCGGCTTATATGGAACGATCGGGCGATCGAGGAGTCGCCGATCGTTCAAGGTTGAACAATCCACGCGGTGTCAGAAACCAATGCCGGGGTCGTCACGACACGAACCTGCCGTAGGGGCTTCTTGGATGGCGTCGGCACAGATGGGGGTCGGAGGATCGCGCCGCACGGCCGATGCATCGCCGATGCGGCCCGGTGTGGAGCCCGATTTTCACCGCGCAGGCGTCGCTGATGCACCGCCGATGCACCGCCGATGCATCGCCGATGCATCGCCGATGCACCGCCGAGGCACTGGCGATGCGGCGCGACCCTCCGACCCCATCTACTCCGAACCCATCTGGGAGGGAAACGTGCTTGCATATCAGCTTAAAAACTAGAAAAATACAGTTTTTTCGGTTTCTAAACGAAGTCGCCAAGGCCTCAAATCGACGGCAACGGGCGCGGGCCAGAGGGCAGCGCCGGAGGACAGAGTGGGCGGCTGCGACCGCGCGGCCGAGGGAGCCTTTCGGCTGCGCGGAGGCCGCGGGGGCCGGCCGGCCCCGCTGTCGCCGGGCGCCTGCCCGCGGCGGCCCCTGCACGCACGGCGCGAGGGTCAGGCGCTTCCCGAGGGCGAGCAGGCCGCTTGCTGTCCTCCTCCTCCGCCTCCTCCTCCTCCTTCTCCTCCTCCTCCTCCTCCCATACCTCCTCCTCCTCCTCCTCCTCCTCCTCCTCCTCCTCCTCCTCCTCCTCCTCCTCCTCCCCCTCGGTCTCAGAAACGCCCAGGCCGATTTCTTTGCGCGAGTGGGGGCCAATCAGATCCAGGTCGCTGATGTGGCCGAGCCGCAGCCGCAGCTGCATCCGCAGCCGCAGCCGAAGCACGAACCGCAGCCCGAACCGCAGCCGCAGTCGCAGTTGCACCCGCAGACGCAGCAGCAGCAGCAGCAGCAGCAGCAGCAGCAGCAGCAGCAGCAGCCTCAACAAGAGTCGGAATCGTTTCGTCCCCCGTGCGCACTTGGATAGCACATGTCTTGATCGTTTGACCTCATGCCGAGGGCGGCCCAGCTCCTGGCCGGCAGCTGCGCGGTAGACCTTGGTGCCCCCCCGCGCGACGCGCCCGGCAATGGCGCAGATCGACCCTTTCGCTTTGCTTTCTCACGATCTGCAGGAGGCGGGGGATACAGGTGCGCGCCGCACGTGGCCTCACTGTTCGGCGCGTGCGCCGATGAGCACAGCAAGGCTCGAGCAGCCCGGCGCAGAGAGCGATCCGCCCTCCCTCCACCCCTCTCGACCCGCGGCGCGTGCGGAACAGCACGAGGCGGCATGCGCAGAGGTGTGCAGCAGTGGCGCTCGACCAGGCCGGAGGGGAGCCCGTAAGGCCACCCTGCGCGCGCCGCGGGGAGATGCACGGCCTGCCGCGCGCGCGCTGCTCGCGCGCTGTGCGCGCGGCCGAGGCGGGTCGAGGGCTGGCGCGCCAGCCTCTCGGCGCGCTGCCGGGGCGAGCCTTCGCTGGGCCACCAGCGGCTCCGCGGCGAGGCTCTGGCGGGGCGTGGGCCGCGCTGAGGGGCTGGCAGGGAGCCGGGGGGGCTCGGCCCGCGCGGACGCGGCGGCGGCTTGGCGTGCAGCGAAGGCCGCCCAGCGCCGTCTGAGGTTCTCGCCTCCTGCTCGCCTTCAGCTGGCGGGCAGCGTGGAGTTCGGGCGCTGCCGTTTGGGCTGGTGCTCCTCCGCAGCCTCCACCTCCGCTCCCGTTCTGGGGCCTGCTCCTGCTCCTCCTCTTCCTCCTCCTCCTCCTCCTCTCCTCCTCCTCCTCCTCCTCCTTCCTCCTCTCATCCTCATCCTCATCCTCATCCTCATCCTCATCCTCATCATCCTTCTTTCCCCTCCTTCTTTCCTCCTCCTCCTCCTCCTCCTCCTCCTCCTCCTCCTCCTTATCTTCATTCCCGGTTCTCATTCGGTCTAGAGCCCAATTGGGATTGGGAAGCATACGACCCCTATGGGAAAGGATATGTCCCCATTGGAGCGCGACCATAGGCGACCACGGGCGACCTTGGTCAGCCACTCCCGCTCGGAAGCCATGCTGCCCGCAGCACCGAGCCACCGCAAGCCCCCCCCCCCCCAGTACGTTCGGGCGCGGCTTTCGCAAGAGTGGCTCTGCGTTCAGCCCCGATGGCGTGCGGCCTTCGCACGGTCGGCCATGCCGAGGAGCTCGTCTGCGAGGCGCCTCGGCTGGCATGGCGGAGTAGTTTCGTGGACCTCCCCCTTCGAGCTTCGAGCTGCGGACGGTCCTGTCCAAGCCGAACCGGGGCCGGACCTCCCTCTCCTCCTCCTCCGCCCTCTGGGCTTGCCCTCCCCCTCCTCCCCCTCTCCTCCCCCTCGGCCGCCCTGGCCCGAGCCTCCGCGGAGGAGAGGCCCCCAAAGTGCGCCCCACCCCGCCCGCGGAGGCCCGGCGGAGACGCCCCTGGGCCCCCCGCGCGCCGCGAGCCGCCAGGCCCCCTCCGAGCCGCGCGGGACCATGAGAACGCTGCTCGCGGACGGCGGGGCCCCGGGCCGAGGGGCCCTGGGCGAGGCGTCGCTGCTGAAGGGCTCGGGCGGGGCCGCCGGGCGCGGCGGCGCGGCGCCGGCGGGCTCCCGCGCGGGAGCGGGGCCGGGCGGGTTCCTCCGGAGCCAGAGCGGGCCCGCCGGGCTGCGCAGCGGCAGTGGCGCTGGAGAGTCCGGGCAGGCGTGCGCGGAGCTCGCCCAGGCCTCGCCGACGCGGGCGCAGGACGGGCACGGGGCAGACTCAGATGGAACGTCCCACGTTCTTATGACTACCAGTTTGTCATAAGGAAACGTGCGTGCTCCGCAGCCGTTTTGTAGCCTCAGAGGCCCCGCAAGGGGCCGTGCCAGCAGCACGCATTTACTGTACACGCTTGGAGTCCAGGGAAATAGGTCTTTGTTTTGTTACTGACAGCTGGTAGTCGTCAACAGCGTGTGATGTTCCATCTAAGCGGGTCGAAGGTGACCACGCGTGGCCGGGCCACCCCCAGTGGGCTCGGAGTTACTCGAAGGTGGTTGCGGGGGCGCGGGGGCGCGGAGATCAAGGCGCATGGCGCGAAGCTCGGTGGCGCGGCACAGGAGGGGTCCTCTTTCTAAGATGGCAGGCCGTTGACATGTGCAGAGTGCGGGGGAAGGACCAGCGGTGAGGCCGCTCCCTGCTCAGGAGCTCCCCGCCTGTCCAGAGGAGTGATGCCCCAACTCTGCCCCCCCCCCCCCCCCCTGTTGCCCACCGCCACGCAGGATGAGCTGGGAAGGCGCCAGAGCCTCCCGACTCTCGAGGCGTCGGCCAAGAGCAGGCGGTCTCTCCCCGCCCTGACCCTGCTGCCCGCCATCAAGAGGAGCACGGCCGCGCTCCAGAGGGGCCGCCTCGAGAGCGACGCCCAGATCCTGCGGGACGTGCTGCTCGACCCCGTCAACCTGCTGCTCCTCGCCGGCCCCTTCGGGCTCGCGGGGGAGCACCGGGGGTGGCCCCGAGGCCCGACGTTCCTGCTCTGCTTCCTGGCGCTGGTGCCCCTCGCGAAGCTGCTGGGGGACGCCACGGAGCACCTGGCGGAGCGCCTCGGCCAGACCACGGGGGGGCTCCTCAACGCCACCTTCGGCAACGCCGTGGAGAGAGCCGCAGAGAGAGCGCCCGTGCACCGCCGCCACCGAGCCCAGCCAGGGCCCTCCTGGGCCTCAGGCATGGGGCATATAACTCTCTTGGCCTCGGCGCGTAGGAGGAGGAGGGGAGGAGGAGGAGGAGAGGAGGAGGAGGAGGAGGAGGAGGAGGAGGAGGAGGAGGAGGAGGAGGAGGAGGAGCAGGAGGAGGAGGAGGAGGAGGAGGAGGAGCAGCAGGAGGAGGAGGAGGAGGAGCAGCAGGAGGAGGAGGAGTATGGGGCATCACTCGCCTGGCCTCGGGGCATATGCACCATGCCAGAGCCCAGGGCGGCCCTGTCCAGGCATGGTGTTGGTGTATGCGTGAGTCTTGCGCAGGAGATGATCATCACTGTCAGCGCGATCAAGGGCGGGCTTCTCGACGTCGTCAAGAACAGCCTCCTCGGGTCCGTCCTGTCGAACCTTCTCCTAGTCCTCGGCATGGCGTTCTTCGCTGGTGGTTTGGCGATGCCAGAGCAGAGATTCCCGGGAGCCGCGGCGCTGATCAACGTCACGATGCTGCTGGTCGGGGTGATGTCATTCTCGCTGCCGACGGTCCCTCCCTCCACCCTCGTGCTTCCTGTCCGTATCCGCCCACTCATTCCTTCTCCTTCCCCCCTCCTTCTGCTCCAACTCTCGCTTTCGACGGTATTCTCCTTCGGCAAGCCGGAGGGGGCTTCCCTGGAGGTATCGCGCGTCAGCGCGATATTCGCAAGCGTGGGCTACGTCGCGTACCTGGTGTTCCAGCTGCGTACCCACGTGGAGATGTTCGAGGACGATTATGAGGAGAAGGAGGAGGAGGAGGAGGAGAAGGAGGAGGATGAGGTGCAGGAGGATAATCATATTGGGACTCGAGGAGGGAGGATGGCGAGGCTGAGACGGAAGAAGAGGAGGCTAAGGAGGAGAATGAGGAGGAGGAGGAGGAGGAGGAGGAGGAGAAGGAACGTGTGGAGTGCGAGAAATGCGAGTAGGAGGAGGTGGAGGAGGTGGAGGAGGAGCGGGCGGATGGGAGGAGGAGGCGGAGGAGGAGGAGGAGTAGGATGATGATGATGATGATGATGATGATGATGATGATGATGATGATGATGCTGATGATGATGATGATGATGATGATGATGATGATGATGATGATGCTGATGATGGTGATTGATGATGATGATGATGATGATGATGATGCTGATGCTGATGCTGATGCTGATGCTGCTGATGATGATGATGATGATGATGATGATGATGATGATGATGATGATGATGATGATGATGATGGTGGTGGTGGTGGTGGTGGTGGTGGTGGTTGTGGTGGTGGTGATGATGATGATGCTGATGATGACGATGATGATGATGGTGATGATGATGATGAGGATGAGGATGAGGATGAGGATGAGGATGAGGATGAGGATTATGATGATGGTGATGGTGATGATGATGATGATGATGATGCTGATGCTGATGCTGATGCTGATGCTGATGCTGATGCTGATGCTGATGCTGATGATGATGCCGATGCCGATGCCGATGCCGATGCCGATGCCGATGCCGATGCTGATGATGATGATGATGATGAGGAGGAGGAGGAGGAGGAGGAGGAGGAGGTGGTGGCGGCCGCCTTCGAGGACGACTCTGACGCTGATTACGTGGTCAGCGCCGAGGCTCCGACCTTGTTGGAATCTTCGCCCGAACTCGAGCTGCTGCCTTGCGGCGCGCCGGGCCACGACGCAGACCCAGAGGGTGTGCTGAGCGTGCCTTGGGCTTTGGGCCTACTGCTGGTCAGCACCGTGGCCGTAGCCGCGCTGTCCGAGATCATGGTCGATTCCATCGACGGCATGGTCGAGGCGCGGCGCGTCGTCGCCGTCGACCCGAAGTTCTGTTGGAGATCTCTGTGGGTCCTCGCCCCCAGGGCTGGGCGCAGCGCGAGAAACTTGCCAGGGGCGGGTCCGGGGAGGGGCTTCCGGCGAGCAGGGTCCCGGCGAGCAGGGTCGCTGGCGAGCAGGTGCCCGGCGGACCGGGTCCCGGCGAAGAGGGTCCTGGCGAGCCAGGATTCGGCGGACAGGGTTCACGCTGGTCCAGGGAGGGGGCCTGGGGATCGATCCTGAGCGGGTCCTGGCCAGAGGGCGGCGCAGGCGTGGCGCGTCCCGCGGTCGTTCGTCGGCGTCATCTTGCTGCCGATCGTGGGGAACGCATGCGAGCACGCCTCGGCGGTGCGGATGGCCTACAACTCCAAGATGGGCACCGCCATTGCCATCGCCGTGGGGTCCAGCACGCAGATCGCGATGTTCGTGATGCTCTTCTCGGTGCTGGCGGGCTGGGTGATCGGGAGGCCCCTGGACCTGAATCTTGGCGCAACGGGGCTGGCAGTCATGATCCTGTCAGTGTTGGTGGTCTTCTCGATCGTGATGGACGGCAAGTCGAATTGGTTGGAGGGGTTCTTGCTGACGCTCGCCTACTGCCTCGTCGCCGTGCTCTACTGGCACGCCGACTGACCAGCACAGACAGCTGCGCCATGCCACTGCGGGCGGCAGGCGCCTGATGGTGACGTCGCCAGGGCGTCACGGAGGGGGCTGCAGGGATGTGACGACAAGCAAGCTGCATGAAGTCGGACTTGTCGAGGATGGGTGCGAGAGCTCCAGCGGGTGCCACCAGTGCTCGTCGGGCCCAATGGGCACGATTACGTTGGTCCCCCTCACGAGGTCAGGGGGAGTGCAGCTCGAATTCCATCGCCTCTGCAAGTAAGGCACGCCTGCGATCAGTGTCGGTCACCCCCTTCTCCATCGCGGCCTCTTCCGCATCCCCCCTTCTCCCCCTAATCCTCCTCGGCATCACCTCCCGATCCTCCTCATCCTCCTCTTCCGGGCTCCCTCGCGAGACGTTCGCTCCCGAGCAATCAAAACAATCTCGTAAGTTCCCCAGAGCTCTCCTCCAAACTCCCTCCTTCCGTTTTCTCTCTCTCTCTCTCTCTATCGCTCTCTCCCTCTCCCCCTTTTATACGCTGCGATGAAAATACCCCCCGTGTTGCACCACCAGGCGTGTCCACAGGCTGGCCCCGGCGTTTCGCTTGAGACCTCATTGCGTATTATGCAAAATGCTTGCGCCATTCCGCCGACCCCCAGAAGAGGGCGGGGAGTCCGCGGTTGAGGCGTCGTGGGCTTCTTGGGCATTCTTTGGGGGCTCTGGTGGGCGTCTTGGGAGCTGTTTGGGGGCTTGGTGGAGCCTGTTGGAGGCAGTTCTGGACCGTCTTGGGGGTAGCCTGGGGGCCTCTTTTGGCCTATCGGGGCTTATTGGGGGCCTCTTTTGGGCCGCTTGGGGGCCTCTTGGGGCCTTTGAGGGCCTCCTGGGGCGGGATCGGATTTTCGGTCCGCGTTTTCCCTCTTGGCCTCTCTTGGGGCCTTCTTGCGGCGATCTTTGGCCGTCTTGGGCCCCTCTGTGGGCGGCTTGGAACCTTCTTGGGGCGTCTTGGGGCCCTCATGGGGGCCTTGGGCCGTCTTGAAGCGTCGAAAGCTCGATAAGAGGATAACCCCAGAAACAATGAAAAACCTACGGGAAACCCTTGATTTATCTTGATTTTGGCATGTTGGGGCCTTCTCGGTAGCCCTCTAGGAGCAGTCTTGGGCCGGCTTGGGGGCTTCGTGGATTGCATCGAAGGCATCTTGGACCGTCGTGGGGCTACCTTGGGTTATCTCGGCACACCGCTTGGGCCCTCCGGGGCCCGGCCACCCACCCGCGACCCCCCCTTGAGAGCGGGATTTGGAACCCCTGGGGAGGGGGGAAAGGGAGAGGGGGACCGCCAAATGTCTCACACGCCTTCTCATCCCCGGCAAGCGGGGGTCGGCAGAGCTTCTTGAAGCTATCTTGAAGCCCAAAAACTCGCGAGGGGAAAAAGCACAGACACAATTGATCGTCGATTCCCATGAAAATGTGCGAAAATATGGGAAGTGGGGGGGAAGACGGAATCCCCAAAATATGGACAAATATGGGGAATCCGGTTATTTGTGTGTATTTATTTGTGTGTCCATGGGCCCTTTCAAAAACAGCTACACGGATGGGGGGCCTGTGGTTTCGAAAGTGGGGTTTGTCGGTGCCGCGCGTATTCGTCTTTTGAAGAGTGGTTTTCAAGATGCGGCTCTCGCCATAGCGCCGGCAGGAATGGATGGTGCTCTCTTTCAAGATAGGGCTCTCGCTGGAGACTTCCGCCAATGTGCAGACAGTTTGGTTGTTTGGCACAATCGTACAGCCATCACACGGATGGATGGCTGATCCCTGTGCAGACGGGGCTGCTGCTGGACACTCCCTGTGAACGCTGCCGTTCTGCTCCTCTGCGCCTCCCTACGGCTGGAAGGGTGGAGGGCGTTTTTCTTTAGGGCATCGCCGGGGTGGCAGGCCCAGCGGGCGGTCCTCGTTCACGGGGGAGCGCTCCCCCGCAGCGGAAGGGGCAGGAGCAGCGGTTTGGACTTAGGGGAGGGGCTCGGGACGGGAGGGTGCGCCGCCGCAGCATCGTTGGCGTCTCTCGGTTTTGTTTTTCAGGAGGCTTCCGCCAGTGTCACGTGTGGCTTCCGATTCCGTAGGTGCTGTTTGCCGATTTTTGCGGGCTGCTGCTTACGTGGAAGTGTTGCTGATTCGTTCTCCACTCCTCTGCGTCCGTTGAGAGACTTCTTGGCAGCCTCGCGGAGGTTTGGGGGGCGGGCTCGCGGGGGCCTCTTCAGGTTTCCTTGTGGTTTGGATGCGTTCCTGGATTTGTTCTGGGCCTCGTGGGGGCATTTTGGGGCATGTGCTGGAGGGGGTTCGGTGGGTAGGAGGGTAGGCGGAGGAGGGAGAGAAATAGATGAGGGGGCCGACCTGGGAGGTCATCTCGCGGGGGAGGGGCCCCGGGGCCGCGGGGCCGCGTCGAGTTCCCTTCTGGGGCTCTTCTCTGGGGTTTCTGAGGCCCTCTTGAGCGTAGATCGTGCAGGGGCCGTCGTTTTGCAGATTATACGTCTGCCTGGGCGTCTCTTGTGCCGTCTTGGCCGGTCCTGCTGGCCTGTCGGGATGTCCTGGACGATTGGGGAACCTGACAAGGGGAGAGGGGGATTAGGGGGTCCGACGACGAGGGAGGGCGATTACGAGGATGAGCGCATGTAAGCATGGATTGGGGGATGTTTGTTTTGCGGGTGGGGGGGATGAGGCGTCGATGTAATTTTCTCGTCCTCGAGCTCGGAGAATGAGGGAGAAGGAGGAATAGTTTGAAGTGGATGACGGAGGAAGACAGAGGAGAGCAGGAGGAGGACGAGGAGACCGAAGACAGTGGGCAGGTTTTGATATCCTGTGGGCCTTGTCGAGGTCCCCCTCGTGGAGCCTGGTCAGGTGAGTTCGCCGGGGGTCGTCGCTGGGGCCTCCTTCATTCCAAGCTGATCGGGGCGGGTTCCTGGGGGCTGGGGTGCGGGAGGGAGCCGGCTCAGCTGGCTCACTGGGGTGCGGGAGGGAGCCGGCTCAGCTGGCTCACGACCCGAAGCGCTTGCAGGGGTGGCGGATGTTCACAAGTATGCATGTTTCAAGCCGTAGCGAAGCGTCTTGGCGTGCCTATAATCCTACCAAACAATGTTCTAAGAACCTTTCGTGGTTTCCACGACATGTTCTTAGAGCATTTCTGGCTGGGACTGTCTTGTTTTATCACATCGGGTTTATGTTCTAAGAACATTGTTTTTGTCAGTAGAACATGTTGGGGTTCTAAGAACATTTCGTGGTAGGACTTTAGGAATGCTGGGACGGTCGGTCCCTGCTCAAATGCTTATGGCGTCCCCTTGGAAGCGGTTTGGGGGTCTTTGGGGGGCTTACTAGGGGCCTTTGGGGGCTGTATTTGGGCTGCTTGGGGGGGCTTCTGGGAGCCTCGTGGGGGCCTGTTGGCAGTCTCAAAAGCCGTTCTGGGGCGGAGGACTCGAAATGCTGATGCGAGTTTCCCGCCTTGGGGCTCTCTTGGGATCTTCTTGGGTCGTCTTGGGAGCCTCCTGGGCCCTCTTGGGCCGTCTGGGGGGGCCCTCTTGGGGGCGGCCCGTGTTGGGGCCATCTTCGGCGCCTCTTGGCCGTCTTCGAGCGTCGGAAGTTGGGAAAGGGAAGAGCGGTAAAATGTGTCAAACATTTGATTGGGAAATCACTGACTTCGGCTTCTTGGGAGGCCTTTTTTAGCACTTTTGGGGCATATTGCGAAGGCCTGACGGCCGGTGCCGCCGACCCTGTTCGCAATGCGCAGCAAGAGGCACGGGCTGTGGGATGGTTTGGGGGAACGGGGAGAAGGACGAGAAGGTGGGGGAGGGAGGTGTCGTATCTGACCCGGGACTTCCCCGGGACTCCCCCGGGACCCCCCCCGGGACCTCCTCTCCCCCCCCCGTCGGGGAAGGGAAAGGGAAGGGGCTTCCCTTCGACTCAATGACGACGTTGCTCAAGGTCGGTACGGGGGGGGGGCGTCGTATCTGACTCGGGGGGGGGGTCGCTACCCCCCCCGCTACCCCCCCCCCCTCCCGGCGGGGGAGGAATGAAAGGGAAGGGGCTTCCCTTCGACTCAATTACGAGGTTGCTCAAGGTCGGCTTGGCTGGAGCCCAGGGGAAGAGGAGTCCCAGGGGGGGGCGTCGTATCTGACCCGGGGGGGGGGTCGCTACCCCCCCCCCCTCCCGGCGGGGGAGGGATCAAAGGGAAGGGGCTTCCCTTCGACTCAATTACGAGGTTGCTCAAGGTCGGCTTGGCTGGAGCCCAGGGGAAGAGGAGTCCCAGGGGGGGGCGTCGTATCTGACCCGGGGGGGGGGTCGCTACCCCCCCCCCCTCCCGGCGGGGGAGGGATCAAAGGGAAGGGGCTTCCCTTCGACTCAATTACGAGGTTGCTCAAGGTCGGCTTGGCTGGAGCCCAGGGGAAGAGGAGTCCCAGGGGGGGGCGTCGTATCTGACCCGGGGGGGGGTCGCTACCCCCCCCCCCCTCCCGGCGGGGGAGGGATCAAAGGGAAGGGGCTTCCCTTCGACTCAATTACGAGGTTGCTCAAGGTCGGCTTGGCTGGAGCCCAGGGGAAGAGGAGTCCCAGGGGGGGGCGTCGTATCTGACCCCCCCCCCCCCTCCCGGCGGGGGAGGGATCAAAGGGAAGGGGCTTCCCTTCGACTCAATTACGAGGGTTGCTCAAGGTCGGCTTGGCTGGAGCCCAGGGGAAGAGGAGTCCCAGGGGGGGGCGTCGTATCTGACCCGGGGGGGGGGTCGCTACCCCCCCCCCCTCCCGGCGGGGGAGGGATCAAAGGGAAGGGGCTTCCCTTCGACTCAATTACGAGGTTGCTCAAGGTCGGCTTGGCTGGAACCCAGGGGAAGAGGAAATCACTGACTTCGGCTTCTTGGGAGGCCTTTTTTAGCACTTTTGGGGCATATTCGGGGCTTCTTGGGCCGTCTGAAAGCTATATTGGGCGTCTCGGAGCGCTCTTGGGACGTCTCGGAGCCCTCTTGGCACGTCACGGGGGCCTCTTTGGGTTCTCTTGGCCTGTCTTGCGGCCGTCTCCGAGGGCATGGGAGGAGCGGCGGTAAGTTTCCGGACCCCCCCCCCCAGACCACCCCCCCAAACGCGATTTTGGACCCCATGTGAGGGGTGGCAGCCAATCATTTCACACGCTTTTTCACCTCTGGCATGCGAGGGTCGGCGGTCTTTGCTCCTCCTTCTTCGACTCCTCCTTCTCTTCCTCCTTCTCCTCCTCCTCCTCTCCTCCTCCTCCTCCTCGATCCTCTCCTCCTCCTCCTCCTCCCTCCTCCTCCCTCCTCCTCCTCCTCCTCCTCCTCCTCTCCTCCTCCTCTTCTCCTCTCTCCCCCTCCTCCTCCTCCTCCGCCCCTCCTCCTCCTCCTCCTCCTCTTCCTCCTGCTCCTCCATCCTCGTCGTCGTCGTCGTCGTCGTCCTCCTCCTCCTCCTCTCCTCCTCTCCTCCTCCTCCTCCTCCTCTCCTCCTCCCCTCCTCCTCCTCCTCCTCCTCTCCTCCTCCTCATCCTCCTCCTCCTGTCCTACTTCTCCTCCTCTTCCTGCTCCTCCTCCTTCCTCCTTCCTCTCTCCTCCTCCTCCTCCTCCTCCTCGTCCTCCTCCTCCTCCTCCTCCTTCTCCCTGTCCCTACTCAGTTTTCTCCTGCCTTTCTTTCGCCTCCCGCCACGTAGCCCCCTTGGGCCAATGCGCCAAAGGGGGCGGTGGAGCTTGGGCCGTGACAGCTGCCCTGACAGTTGAGTTTCCAGCAACGTGCTCCTCCTCCCCCGGCATCCTCGGAGACCTTCAGGGCCCACCCCCTGATCCTACTCGCACTCCTCGCTCTCTTCCTCCTCGCTCTGCTTCCCCTCCCCCTCCTCCACCTCCTCCCCCGTCCTCCTCCTCCTCCTCCTCCTCGTCCTCCTCCTCCTCTCCAACTTCTCGTCATCATCCTCCTCCACCGTCTCATCCTTCAGCCCTTTCCAGGTCTCGGGGGGGATCTTTGCGGGCGGTGCACTTGGAAGAGGCGCAGCTGCCCCTAGCCGCGGCGATGCCCTCAAGTCGTCCCTGAAAGGCTGCAAGCCTACACAGCGGCAGCAGCAGGCGCTGATGCTGAAGGTGATCATCCAGTCCGAGCTGCTCTCGACGGAGCTCGGCGAGCGGGTTGACAAGACGAGTTCTTGACGGGGTTCAAGACCAATTTCGAGTTCGTCATCGAGCTTGTGCCAGGGCTGGGGCTTCTCCAATACCTCGGCAGTGCCATGGCAGCGACAGCAGGGGACTACCAGAAATGCAACGAGTTTGTGCAGCAGTCGGTGGTAACAGCCATGGGCTCTGCGGACTACCAGGAGGACCACTTCAAGGTTGACAAGTGCTTCGTCGGGGACCTGGGCGAGTCTAGCTCCGAGACGGGGAACGCCTTCGACGAGTTCGCGCAGCAGTTTTTTGTGGTAGCCATTGGCTCCGCGGACTCCAACGACGGCAGCTACAACGTCGGCAGCGGCTACGTTCACGCCCTGGACTTGACTTCGCCTTTGGCGTCTGGCGCCGTTCGACCAACATCAACAAAGAGCCACGGCACAACACCGATCATGCTCAGTCAAACATGTAGGTTTCTCTTGGCGCCTCTTCGAGTCTGAGCAGCAGGCGGTAATGGCCAATGGCGCAGCGGGCATGGGGGTCGGGAGCGAGAACGCGCTGCAGCTGGCTGTTGCAGCCGTGGGCTCAGCGAGTCGACTCTGCGAAGTGCTCTGCTCAAGTATGACGTGAAGACGAAGAATACTAATCAACAATAAGACTGCAATAATCATATTAGTAAGAAAAAGAAGCAGTAGTACGGCTTCATCGAGTCCCACGGTGGCGGGGACACTGTTCGTGGATGCGGTGGACAGCCCTGCCCTTGCTTCAAGCAAGCCAGATTCGGAAGTGGAGTGCTGCATGGAGCGGGACGCACGGGAGGGCAAGCACAAAGGAGTCTGAGTGGACGTCTTTGTCACACGCTGCGGTAGAGTTCACGTGCGCAGCGAAATCAGCATGTGTCCGGGAGTTGGGGCGCATCCGATGGGCGATCCCTTGGGCCCAGCGGACAGCAGCAACGAGTCGTTGGTCAAGGGATCTCGCGTGAAGGCGACTGCGGCGTGCGGCGTCTCGGACAGCGCCGTGGTGCAGCACGACGGCGTGCTCACGGCGCTTGCAGCATTCTGGGGTCGTGGACAGCGGTTTCAAGAATACCGACGGCGTGCTCAGTGAGATCGGTGCGGTCATGGCGAGAGGCCGAGCACTCTAAGCGAAGACCTCCACGCTGTGATGCCTGCCAGAGCTGGAAGTTCTGTCGATGTGGGGCCTTCGCCGCGTGGTTCGGGGCTTCTCTTTCTCGCCCTGGTTTGACCTCCTCGTCGCCGCGGCTGGGCTCGGCTGTGGCGGTCGCGCGTGCGGCCTGGCGTTTCCCTTCTCAGCGAAGCGTGGGGTCGCCTGCGCGTTTCTGATGGTTCGACGCAGTTGCATGGCTCTGTCGACCTGCGGGAGGCGGTTGATTTCTGCCACGTTGAGCGTCGCCCCGAAGCCCTGCCCTTCAAGTCCAGGGAAGAGGGGCCCGCATAGCTTCATAAAGTGATCCGCATTGAATTTTGCAGGCTTCGGGAGATTTTCGTCCAAGCCCCCTGATCGCCCAGTCGCCTCCTCTTCTTCTTCCTCCTCCTTCTCCTCCTCCTCCTCCTCCTCCTCTTCTCCCTCCTTTTCCTCCTCCTCCTCCTCCTCACTCGCATCTGGGCCCCCGAAGCCGTCCCGATTTTATAGTTTTCCTCCTCCTCCTCCTCTTCCTTTTCCTCCTCCTCCTCCATTCCTTCTCCTTATTAAACACTCCTCCCTGTCGCGCCCCGAGGCCGGTCGAAAGGGCGGGCCGGACGTTTCGCTTGAGACCTCCTCACCATGTAGGACTTTGGAGCTTAGAAGCTGGCAACAGCTTCGCAGATGGAGGGCGGGTCGCTTTCAACATTTGGCTCTCACTTTCTGGCGCGGCGCACATGTGTTGTGCCAAATTGCAAGAAGTTGAGGGCGGGTAGTTTTCCAAATGTGGTTCTCACTTTAGCGCCGCGCGCTTTTGTTTTAAATACTTGCAAGAGCTTCACGGATTGAGGTCGGCTCGCTTTCAAACTGTAGTTCTCGCCCTAGCGATGCGCACGTCCGTTTTAAACATCTGCCAAAGTTTCACGGATTCAGGGCGGGTGGTTTTCAAAATGCGGTTCTCGTCTCAGCGTTGGGAGCATTCGTTGTAGCATTTTGCAAGGGCTTCACGGATTGAGGGCAGGTGGATTTCGAAATGTGGCTGTCGCCTCAGCGCCACGCACATTGTTTTCCAACGTTTGCAAAAGTTTCACGGACTGAGGGCGGCTCGTTTTCAAAATGTTGCTCTCGCTTCAGCGCCGGGCACAGTCGTTTTGCGCATCTGCAGAAGTTTCACGGATTCCCATGGTCAACGTGCCAGCAAACTATGTTTTTGAAGGGCTCATGACTGTGAGGGCGCAGCAGTTACGTTGATTCGCCGCGTTTTATGAAGTCCCAGGAGTGGCGTTCTAGCAGGACTCAGGATCGTCAAGACGCAACAGTCATGTTGATCCGTGGCTGTGGGGTCCCGAGCATGGTGTTCTGGCACGCTTCATAGTCTTCAAACAGTTTTCTCCCAACGGGGCAGTTCCCTGAGTGGAAATGAACCCCTGTAGGGGGCTATGAAGAGGAGCTTGGAGGAAGGGTTGATTCCAACAACGTTGATGAGTCTTGGATTTCCACTGGTCCTCCTCCTCCTCCTCCTCACTTTCCCCTCCCTCACTTGTGGTCCTCCTCCTCCACCCCTTCTCGCCTCCTCGTCATCCTCCTCCTTCCTCCCGGTCCTCTTCTTCCTGCTGTGTTCTTACTTGCCACTCCTCCTAACTGCCATTCCTCCTCCGGGGGGCCTCTGCAGACTCGACAACTGCAATAACATATCGTTAACGCACTTCGGACATCCTCTGCGATCCTCCTCCTGCCCCTCCAACTCCACCCCCTCCTCCCCTCCCTTCCCTTTTTCTTGCGCTGGCTACGGGGCCTCCCTTCCCTCCTCCTCCTCCTCCTCCTCCTCCTCCTCCTCCTCCTCCTGCATGTGTCGTTGCGCCACCAGACGTGTCGGCGGGGTGGTCTGGGCGTTTCGCCTGAGACTTTTTCGCCAACGTTCACAACGGCTTTGCCGATGGAGTGCGACAAGTTTTCAGACTGGCTCTCGCCATGGCGCGACGCATATTCGACCTGAACGCTTCCAACCGCCACATGGACGTAGGGCGTCCCGTCTTCGTGGCTCTTCGTCAGCGCCGCGCACATTCGTCTTCAACGCTTCCAAGTGTCACGAGGAAGGAGTGCGGTCAGTTTTGCCTCAATGAGGCTCTCGCCATAGCGCCGGCCGCAATCTTGCGAAACGCCTCAGGCAGCTCTCAGAGAGTGGTTTCCGCTTGAGACACCCGAAACGTATACGACCCGACGTGCACAGTTGTGCAACAGCTACAGTGATGGAGGGCGGCCCCTCTGCAGCGTGGTAGTATCGCTTGAGCTGTTCCAGCGCGCACGACCTGAATTGTAGAATTGTGCATCAGCTATAGGGATGGCGGGCGGTTCCTCTTCAAGACGGCGCTCTCGATTGAGATGCTCTCTGCAGCTGCGGCGAGACGCGCAACACTGTGCAACAGTGGGAGTCAGGCCCTTTTCACAACGGGGTTCTCGCTGGACCTGCTCTTGAGTTGTCTGGTCGTGTCCTGTTGCGTTCGTCAGGGCAGTTTCTGTTCAATCCGGGGCTCTCGCTTGAGTGGCAAGCCCGTGGGGCGCTGGTCCATCTCTTCGTGCCTTGACCCAGGATGCCCATATCCCTGTTCATGGGCAGGCAGTGGCATCCTGCCCTCGCACAGATGGTCTTGTCTGGCACCAGGAACTTGGGCCAGCCGAAAAGGACGCGAAAGGGTCATACCGCAGTTGCGGGCGCGGCAGCAGTTGACAGACAAGATGTCCAGTGGGCGCAATGTTACCTGTGAGAGTGTCGGTGACCTTCCGCTTACGGACAAGGTCGCACCTTGAGGTAAGGCGAGCGCCAGGGGTTGAGCGACACGATGCACGAGACGGGGGGGGGGGCAGGCAATCTGTGCACCACTGAACGCATCTGCACATGCAGGGCAATTCATCGTGCCCTGTGGGTAATTCGATGTTGCGGCTAGTCTCATAGTACGTTCCCAAACGAACCGCTGAGGCCTCTGGCCACGCCACGGGCCAGCTGCAGAGATCCGAGGGGGCTCCAAGCGGGGGCCCAGCTGCAGCCGCGGCAGGAAAGCATGGGGGAGTCTCCTCCGTCTTTCCCATGCTCCGGCTTGAGCCTAAATAGGTCTTCGGAGTGTGTCCCTTTGGCGGCGTTGCCCCATCGGGCACGAGGTTCATGCTGAATCGTCGCCGTCGCGGCAGGTCATGGTGCTTGGACAGAGCCAGGTGGGTTCTGGGGAGCTCTCCAGTAATCCCGTCGTCTTGCTCCATAGTTGCTCTGTCCTCGATTTGCACACCATGGTGGTGCACCAGGCCTCTCGTCTTGCCAACGGGGTTAGGCCCGCCCCTGAACCATATTACTTCAAGCTTCCTCCTCCTCCTCCTCCTCCTCCTCCTCCTCCTCCTCCTCCTCCTCATCATCATCATCATCATCATCATCATCATCATCATCATCATCATCGTCATCATCATCATCATCATCATCATCATCATCATCATCATCATCATCATCATCATCATCATCATCATCATCATCATCATCATCATCATCATCATCATCATCATCATCATCATCATCATCATCATCATCATCATCATCATCATCATCATCATCATCATCATCATCAATCATCATCATCATCATCATCATCATCATCATCATCATCATCATCATCATCATCATCATCATCATCATCATCATCATCATCATCATCATCATCCGTAGCCATTTTGCCGCAAGTCCTGAGCACACCGCTGGAGGTGCTGGATTCAGCATTGCCTTTCAGGTCAGGCCCTGGGAGAGGGCTCGAGCAGGCCCCCCGTGGCCTTTTCGGCACGCTGTGTGCGCCCCAGGTCTTGCGCGCGACTTCCAGCCGCAGGGATCACAAGACACGATGGCCAAGCAGCAGAAGTACATCATGTGCGGGCGTCGCGGCTGCAAAGGCTGGGTGTGGTGTTCTTGTAATGTTAAGCGTTGCGTGCGGTGCGGTGGCCGTTTCAAGCAGCAGCAGCAGCAGCAGCAGCAGCAGCAGCAGCAGCAGCAGCAGCAGCAGGAGTTTCAAGGCGGCACCCGTGGGCCTTGCGCCAGCGGCCTCAGTGGCGCGGGCGCGGCAGGCCAAGGGCCCCCCCTACGCCAGAGCAGCCCGACAAGCCAGGCCGCTGGCGAGGGCGCGAGCGCTCACGGGGGCCAAGCCGTCCGCCCAGACTGCGACGTGTCACCTTTGCGGGGGGTGACGAGCAGCAGCCTCAAGAAGAAGATTCAGTGGCCTTGGCACAGGCCCAAGTCATGTTCTGGAAGAAGCGGAAGCCCAACGGCGAGGAGCACACCGCAGCGTTGGGCAAACGCAAGCAGGCCAAAACATCAGTCTTGGCATCCAAGTCGCTCGAGCAGCAGGCCCAGTCCCTCTCGGATCAGCTCGAGACCCAGCGTCAGAACTACGAAGCTCAGTCGGCGGAACTCAAGCAGCTCGTGGGCATCATCCTGGACGCCAGCGAGAAGCATCGCAAGCTCGTCGGAGAAGCGCGGAATACGCAGCTGGAGATCCAGACCCTGGAGAACCAATTCAACATGGCCATGCAGGCCGCCGTACAGGCGGCTACCAAAGACGTCGACATCTTGTCTACCCTGCAAGGGGTCCTCGCGGCGCGGATGCCACCTGGCAGCACCGCGCCGCCCGACCTGTGCTCGAAGATGTCGGAGCTCGCCGTTTTTTTTCGACGACCTCACGGCACAGCATGCCCATGCGCAGGCGCCCGGGCACATGGACACGGACGGGTTCCCAGGCATCGACGAAGCCCCTGACGAGCCACCCCCCGCAGCCGCCGCAGCCAGCGGCGCCGCGGCGTCGGCCTCGGGCCCGCCAGGAGGTGGCGCCAGCGCGGCAGCTCCCTCCGCCGCGGGCGCGGGCGAGCACGTCCCCTGCCCGCAGGACGGGGAGTTCGACGGCGACAACGGCACGGGCGAGTCGCGCCCCCTGGCGCGCGCGGCGGACGCCCTCGAGGCCGTCGCAGAGGAGGGCATGGCCGCACTCCGGGGCAAGAACGGTCCCGGCGCCAAGCGGGCCAGGGCGTCGGCGGCAGCATCGCGAGCAGTCAAGACCGAGGCAACCTCGTCGCCGTCGCCTTCCTGACAATCTTTACACCATCGCCGCGATCACTGGATCGTGCTGATGAGCACTGAGAGCTTTTGTTGAGCCACCCACTGCTGCGAGTTTCATTTTCATCTGTGCTCAGGAGTGCAGATTAGAAGATGGTGATAGTATTGTTCGTCAGACACAATGGTGCTTCG